TGCCAATTCATTCACCGTTGCTTGCACCAATGCTCCCATCGCCTCCTTCACCAGCTTTGTTCTCGCACGTGTCATTGGCCCACCTTCGACTATCAACAGATCTCTCCCGGGACTACGCCTTGTTTCGGACATCCTCACATCATCCCCTCCCTCTTCAAAAGGATTCGTCCTCGAATCTGTTCCTGCATCAAACATAGAGAGATCAGAAACATTAAATGTTGCCGAAACATTACACTCACCTGTAAGATCCAGTTTATAAGCATTGTCATGGATCTTTTGAGAACTTGAAATGGTCCATCGCCCCTTGGTAGTAATTTGGATTTCCTTTGCTCCGGAAAGCGCTCCTTTCTCATATGCACCCAAACCCAATCACTGGGTTCAAAGGAAACTCGCTTTCTGCCCTTATTGGCTAGTTCCGCATAGTGCTTGTTTTTGTTCTCAATTTGCAACCAGACTTTCTCATGAAGTGTCTTTACCAACTCAGCCTTCTTCTTCCCATCTAAACTACCTCGTTCATTCACAGGTGAAGGAATTAAATCCAATGGGGTTAGCGGATTAAAACCATAAACGACCTCGAATGGGGAACATGAGGTAATAGAGTGTAAAACTCTATTATATGCAAATTCAATAAAAGGTAAGCACTCTTCCCAACTTTTCAAATTTTTATCAACAACAGTGCGCAACAATTGAATCATGGTCCTATTAACTACTTCAGTTTGTCCATCTGTTTGTGGGTGACATGTAGTAGAAAATAACAATTTCGTGCCCAACTTACCCCATAAAACCCGCCAGAAATGACTAAGAAACTTAACATCTCTATCAGATACGATGCTCTTAGGAACTTCATGTAAATGCACTATCTCCTTAAAGAACAAATCTGCAACGTTAGTGGCATCATCAGTTTTATGGCATGGAATGAAGTGTGCCATTTTAGAAAACCTATCTACCACTACAAAGATAGAATCTCGGCCATTTTTAGTCCTAGGCAAACCTAACACAAAATCCATAGAAATATCAACCCAAGGCTCACTGGGAACGGGTAAAGGTGTATACAACCCGTGTGGCCTTACCTTAGACTTAGCCTGTTTACAAGTTATGCAACGATCACAAGTTCTTTCAACATCAATCCTCATTTTAGGCCAATAAAAATGCTCCCTTAACATTTCTAAAGTCTTGGCACCCCAAAGTGTCCATCAACCCCCCACTATGTGCTTCCTTAACTAACAATTCACGCGTAGAACAATTTGGAACACATAGTTTATTTTCCCGAAACAAATACCCCTCATGTTTATAAAATTTATCTATTGCC